AACTTAAATTCAGATTTTAAAAAAAATACTAAAGATTGGGTATGATCTCAATACTCTCTGTTTATGAATAAAGAATTTTGCTAAACATAAAATTAGGTTACAACAGAGTTAATTAGAAGTCGTGGAACGCTGTGATTTTCCTGCCAATGTCCACTCCAGTCCAGCAGGGGGCGGTAAACGGACCAATCAACTGCTTCGTCTCAGTCTGAGGCAAAACAAAGAGCTCCAGCAGCAGCCTGTGAGGACTCTGCTAGATAACGGCTGTGTTCTTGTATCCCGGCTCAACTTTTCAGTCGTTTTAGTAACAATGTCTTCAGTCCAGCATCTGAGAGAGTTTATCAGAGAGCGACTAACCGCCGCTGCTGAAGAAATCCTCACCGAGGTTGAAAAAACCTTCGTCCGCTACGAGGAAGACGTCAGACTGCTGGAGAGCCACTGGAAACCCCAGATGAAACTCACCAGAATCGGTAGGAAGCCCCACCGACTGACTGCTAGATACATTTGATCTAAAGCTAAACTAAACTAGCATAAGCTAAACTAATAGACAGTCTGCCCCAGGGGCCACTAACGGCTCCTCCACAGACATAGTGGCCCTCATATTTACAAGCTTTATAAACTATCTACATAAACATCACTATTGGACTCTGCTGCTCTCGTTTATTACGGCATGTGTATTAAGGGTGGTGAGGTATCTATCTGTTTACATGTGCAAAAGTGCCCATCTGTAGCCGGTTATAGGGCTATCCTGTCAGGGATCTGTTGGTGCTGACATTATACTTTCACTCTCTGGAAGCAGGTTTGAAATGTAGGCTGCTGTGCATCTGTTTTATCTGAATAGATCCCTCTGTTCGAACAGAGTGTTTTATATATTCACATCTACCTTCATTTGGATGAAGCCTTGTGTAAATCGGATGTGTTAAAGTCGTAGGGAAGTCATATTTAAATGTCAAATCATTCTGGCTTAAACATGTATAGGGTACTCTTTATCAGACGATATTGTCCTAAAATTTTGAAAATTTCTATATAAAAAAAAAATCCTGTCTTAAAATCTGTGGGGGTTTTTTTTCATTATTTTATGCAGGCCAGTTAGTTGTACGTCAGCTTGAACGCCTAAATTCAGCCAATCATATATCAACGGTCATCTGTCAATCAAATTTTTTCGGTCATCTT